CAAGAGAAACAATAAGAGAGGTAAATAGGGAGCCTACATCATGGGAACAAATTTTTACTCCTCACACTTCAGATAGAGCCCTAATATCCAGAGTATACAAAGAACTCAAAAAATTAAACAATAAGAAAACAAATAACCCAATCAACAAATGGGCCAAAGACCTGAACAGACACTTCTCAGAGGAGAACATACAATCAATCAACAAGTACATGAAAAAATGCTCACCATCACTAGCAGTCAGAGAAATGCAAATCAAAACCACCCTAAGATACCATCTCACTCCAGTAAGATTGGCAGCCATTATGAAGTCAAACAACAACAAGTGCTGGAGAGGATGTGGGGAAAAGGATACTCTTGTACATTGCTGGTAGGACTGCAAACTGGTGCGGCCAATTTGGAAAGCAGTATGGAGATTCCTGGGAAAGCTGGGAATGGAACCACCATTTGACCCAGCTATTGCCCTTCTCAGAATATTCCCTGAAGACCTTAAAAGAGCGTACTACAGGGATACTGCTACATTGATGTTCATAGCAGCACAATTCACAATTGCTAGACTGTGGAACCAACCCAGATGCCCTTCAATAGATGAATGGATAAAAAAAATGTGGCATTTATACACAATGGAGTATTATACAGCACTAAAAAATGACAAAATAATGGAATTTGCAGGGAAATGGATGGCATTAGAGCAGATTATGCTTAGTGAAGCTAGCCAATCCCTAAAAAACAAATACCAAATGTCTTCTTTGATATAATGAGAGCAACTAAGAACAAAGCAGGGAGGAAGAGCAGGAAGAAAAGATTAACATTAAATAGATACATGAGGTGGGAGGGAAAGGGAGAGAAAAGGGAAATTGCATGGTAATGGAGGGAGATCCTCATTGTTGTACAAAATTACATATAAGAGGTTGTGAGGGGAATGGGAAAATAAACAAGGAGAGAAATGAATTACAGTAGACGGGGTAGAGAGAGAAGATGGGAGGGGAGGGGAGGGGAGGGGAGATAGTAGAGGATAGGAAAGGTAGCAGAATACAACAGTTACTAATAGGGCATTATGTAAAAATGTGGATGTGTAACCAACGTGATTCTGCAATCTGTATTTGGGTTAAAATTGGGAGTTCAAAACCCACTTGAATCAAATGTATGAAATATGATATGTCAAGAGCTTTGTAATGTTTTGAACAATCAATAAAAAATAAATAAACTTCCTTCTTAATACTGCCTTCATAGTGCCCCAGAGATTTTGCAATGTTGTATCAGTGTTCTCATTTACCTCTAAGAATTTTTTAAATTTCATCCTTGATTTCTTCTACTATCCATACATCATTCAATTGTGTATTATTTAGTTTACACTTGTTACAGTAGCTTCTATTTTTATTTTATCCTTGACTTCTAATTTCATTCCACTGTGGTCTGATAGAATGCAGCATATTATCTCTGTTTTTGTTTGTTTGTTTGTTTGTATTTACTAAGAGTTGCTGCTCTGTGGCATAAGATATGGTCTATTTTAGAGAAGGAGCCATGTGCTGCTGAGAAAAAAAGTATATTTGTTCATTGATAGATGAAATATTCTATATGTATCTGTTAAGTCTAAATTATTGATTGTATTATTTAGTTCTATTGTTTCTTTACTTAGTTTTTGTTTGGAAGATCTGTCCAGTAGTGAGATAGGTGTGTTAAAGTCACACAGTATTATTGTATTGTGGTCTATTTGACTCTTGAAATTGAGAAGGGTTTGTTTGATGTATATAGATGTTCCATTGTTTGGGGCATAAATATTTATAATTGTTATGTCCTGCTTATATATAATTCCCTTAAGAAGTATGAAATGTCCTTCTTTGTCTCTTCTGATTAACTTTGGTTTGAAGTCTACTTTATCTGAAATGAGAATGGAAACCCCCACTTGTTTACACAATCCATATGAGTGACAAGTTTTTCCCATCCTTTCACCTTCAGCCTGTGAATGGATGTCTTTGCCCATGAGGTGAATCTCTTGAAGACAGCATATTGTTGGGTTTTTCTTTTTAATCCAATCTTCCAGTCTGTCTTTTGATTGATGAGTTTAGGCTGTTAACATTCAAGGTTATTATTGAGATATAATTTGTATTCCCTCTCATTTTGATTTTTTTCTGGCTTTTGATTTGTCTTAGTTTCTCATTTGGTTGAATGTCACTTTAATGTAGATCTTCCCTTTGCTGGTTTTTACTTTTTTTTTTCACTTCATCCTCATGGAATATTTTGTTGAGAATGCTCTGTAGTGTAGGCTTTCTAGTTGTGAATTCATTTAATTTTTTTTATCATGGAATGTTTTAATTTCATCTTCAAATCTGAAACTTAATTTTGCTGGATATAAAATTCTTGGTTGCATTCATTTTCTTTCAGAGTGTGTAATATATTATTTCAGGACCTCCTAGCTTTGAGGGTCAGGGCTGAGAAATCAGTTGAGATCTGAATTGGTTTCCCCCTATAACATAATTTGATTTTTTTTCTCTCACAGCCTTTAAAATTTTATCTTTATTCTGTATTAGTCATTCTCATTACAATGTGTCTTGATGTGGGTCTGCTATAATTTGTACTTTTGGGGTACTGTAAGCCTCTTGTATTTGATTTTCCATTCCATTCTTTAGGTTTGGGGAATCTTCTGCTATTATATCATTGAAAAGCTTTTGCATTCCTTTGGTCTATATCTCTGCTCCTTAACCTATTCTGATAACTCTTAAATTTGGTCTTTTCATGTTATCCCATAATTCTTAGATGTTCTGTTCTTTTTTTTTTTTTTTTACCATCTTCTCCACATGTTCAACTCTTCTTTCAAGGTTATAAATTTTGTCTTTATTGTCTGAGGTTCTATATTCCAAGTGGTCTAATCTGTTGGTGATGCATTCTATTGAATTTATAATTTGGGTTACTGTTTCCTTCATTTCAAGGATTTCTGCTTGGTTTTTTTTCCCACAGTCTCATACACTTTATTGAAGTGGTCTTTCACTTCCTGTATTTTTTCTTTGATTTCACTCCTTATACTATCCTTTTCTTCACATATCAGTTTAACTATATACAATCTGAACTCCTTCTTGGACATTTCTTCTACTATGTTATCAGTGGCTTCTGTTGTTGAAGCATCTTTGGTTTGTTTGTGGTGCTTTATTCCCTTGTTTTTTCATGTTGTTAGTGTATTTTCCCACTAAAAGTATGGATTCAATGCAAGATAAATTCTATCCTGTAGACCTATAATGTCCCTGAAGGTTTCCAGTGCTTTGCCTTTACTGGTATATATTGTGTTCATTGGTAGTATCAATACCACCCAATGAACACAATATATAGCCTTAAACCTAATAGTTCCCACTAAGGTGTCTATTGATTTCTCACATTGAACCAAAATGATGAGTTCAATAACTATCTATAGTATAAGCAGAATATTTGTTAAAATGATTTACAATTCCAAATGTTGGATGAGAGAACAGAGGTAGTGTAGTATGCAATATTCCCAATGGAGAAAGGTAGAAACTAGAAGTAAAAATTCACAGGAAGAGTGGAACAGTAGCTGACAGAGATTGGCTGTTGGTTGGAGAAAAGTTGGAAAGAAAATCCTAGAAAATATACTAGAGAGAGGAAGAATATGAACAAAGAGAAAAGATTAAAGACATAAGAATACAACAAAAATGCAAAACACCAATCATATATCATTGTCCTCCATAAACTGATGCATAAAAAATTTTGTTTCAAATATGGTAGAGAGATTAGTGAATCAAAAAATAAAATAAGTCTTGCTGGAAAGTTGAACTGTCTCTGTCAGTGTTCAACAGTTTCTCAGCCTTGTCCCTGGCATCTCTTGGGATCACTAAACCCAGATGATCCCTCATAAACCCAGTCTCTGTCCTACTGATCTGGGATCTAGATACCTCAGGATTGGCCATGTTGCAGTCTCAAGATCTCAATGCTGCTCCTACTTGCAGAGAGACCACTAGGGATACACTCATGCAAAGAAGATGCAGCAGCAAGACAATGACCACCAGTGCTCTCAGCAGGAAGACCCTAGGCTCCCCCAAATCTGAGGAACCCCCACATTGGGCCTGCAGGTCCCATCTGGAGTCCCCAGACTGAAGCTCTTGTGGTGGTAAACCTGCTGGCATCCAGGCTCCAGGCCCTGGCTGGTGTCCCAAAATGGATACAGTCACATTCAACCAAACCTGGAGTGTTCCCCGAAGCAGTCCTCTAGGCCGTGGTAGCAATGGTAGTGGTGGTGTTGTTGGCATCAGGCAGTGGGTCAGCAGTAGCGTGACTGAGACAAAGCTACAATTGCAGCTGTGGGGCATTGTCTCCAGGCAATCTCCAAGGGTCAGCAGTAGTGTTGGCTTCAGTTGCATCCATGGCAGTGGTTTCTTCTGTGGGAGCAGCACTCAGAAAGAAGACCTCCAGGTGATCTCAGGCTGGCAGCAGCAGAATCAGAGGAAGCAGCAATGGCTGCAGCAGTGCAGGCAACAGTTGATTGACAGGAAACCTCCAGTTCAGCAGTGGCGACCACAGAGGTAGCTACAGAAGTGCCTCCGAAGTAATGGAGGCTGTGCCCAGAGAAGAGACCTGATGGCACTGCAGCAGGGTCTCTGGCAGCAGCCCAGTCTTTTAATTCTTAAGTCAGGGTTATATCATTTTTATTATATTGTCTTCCTTGACACCCATAAATATATTCTTTAAATGTATTATTAAATGATTTTAAGTATTTTTACAGGTAAAATGTTAAAACAAAATGATGAAATTTTAACATTTAGAATTAGATGAACATTAAAATGTAAGAAATATATAACTCTTGGTTCTTTCTTAGAAAGTAATTGTCACATTATTACATATTTCCTTCTATTATGCATCAGTTTTTTTTCTATATCTCATAAGTGTATTTTTTTATGTAAAGTGATTTTCCTACATGCATTATGGATCAAAACAATTACTTTCCTCTTATGCTAAATACCATGAATTAATAATGATAATGTTGAACTATATTACAGAATGAACTCATGAGCTTAAAAAACAAATAGCAGCTGTCTCTGCAGAAACTAAAGTAATGGAGAGGCAAATTTATTAGGAGGATGCTGCCATAGAGAATTCCAGACTTCAATGTGGAAACCCAGAATCTTAAAACAAGTCCTTATATACAGACAATGTGAAGCTTAAGTTTGGTATCAAAATCTCCCAAGAAGATTTTCAGGAGCACATGATAAAATATAAGATTTATTATGCAAAAATAAAAGCACATAAAGATAGTTTGGGGGAGATAGAAATCCAATGGTCATTTATAATTGAACTCTGTGAAAAACAAGATCTAGTTAAAAAACTAAAGACAATGAAAGAGGAACTTATGCAAGATCTCCAAAATCCAGGAGGGAACCAAATGACACAAGTACATGTTGAACTGTTACTTATCAAAACTTTTTCTATTATTCACATTATAAGAATATATTAAATAATACATTTATTATTAAGTTAGTAAAATGCTCTCTATTAACCTTCAGAAACTATTTTCACAATTTTTAAGTACTTCGATAAGTACATGAGTTAGATAACAACTATCTCAAATGTGCAAATGCATAAAGGAAATATTTACACTGTATTTCTAAAAATATATAGTCAAAATCACATTGAACACTTAATTCATTTGTTGCAGAAATTATAATTCAGAAAAAGTTGAATCTGAATTAATAATTGTACCTTAAGCATCTTTGTATTTCTCTTACTGTTATTTTAAGACCATAAAAAGTACAAACTTAAAGTATATATTTTTTGCTAGATAATTAAGTATCCTTTGCATTGTTGTCAGGCAAATGCCACCATAAATACCACTTTCTTTTGTCTTAATTTGTTTTTACTTCTGAGTTTTCAAAATAAGGTAGCTTTGTTTGAATAGCAGTTATTTGTCCAGTATACCTATAAAAGTAACATTCTAATCCAATGTATCAAAATTAAAATTTAATTTATCCAGCTTTCTTAAAATATGGCAACACTGAAAATTGTGGATTTATAGTATTGACCATTCTTTTATGACTTGTATATTTTAAATTTAATAAATATACAGGAAGATATTTCAAAGCTAAAGAATGAAATTATAATTGTAAAGGAATCATTGAAAAATGTGTTTTCTTGAAGAAGAAAAGAGGAGACATGAAAAATAAACAAAAGAAATAGAGGTATGTGTTAATGGTTGAGATTTCAATGTTCTATAAGATCATTTCTTAATTTTCTGCTATATTCATGTTTCCATAGTTTACTCTTCATTATCAAAATAGTTAGGGGACAAAAATTGTAAAATTCAGTAGATAAATACATATTATTAATAGATAGACCCCCTCATTCAAAGATGTTTAAATATGTAAATATATTCAAACAAAGCAAGTACTTCTATTTTAATATATCTTAGAATTCTTTCAGGTCTCATTGCACCAACAGCTTGATACCTGCTTAATGGCAAGACAGCAAAGGTTATAATCATAGAAGATGACAATTCCTAGACACCAGATACTCCTCAAAATAAAGTGAAACACAATGGAAATTATCCTCATTCTAAATCTCTCTGATTACATATTTGTAATTCTCAAGAGCCATGTTTAAAAAAAGCAAAATGCAAAACCAAAAATGAGACAAATTCTCATCAACTGCTGTGGTACCACCTACAGAATTTTATAGTCAATTATTATTTACATGAATGGAGAACAAATATGGAAAAGAACATGCTTTTAATAGTAAAAATAATTTCCACCATTAAAGCATTAATATGGAAACTAAGAAGATGCATATTTTCACTTGATTATAACTAATTTGACACAATATGAAAAGCATCTGAAGTATTAAAGATAAAAATCCCCACCTTTACATATTCTCTATCAAGAGATACCATGGAAGTACACCATAACAATAGAGAAGACAAGACTCAACTCTTAAATTTCTTATTGAAGCTGGTAAGGTGTAGAACACCTGAAGTTTTAAGCACTATTGGTGTGAGTATATGTTGTTAAAAGCATTTTGGAAAGGAATTTGAGATTACCTAGTACTATTCTTATGCTGAAATGCTTTATCAAGGCACAATTGTCATAAGTCCACAAATTGCAAATGTTTGACTTTTTTATTTTTATGTGTTTTTTTTAGTTATACATGACAATAGAATCCATTTTGATATATTTAGACAAGTACGGAATAGATCTTATTCTAATTAGGATACCGGTCTGGTGCATGTACAGGATGATGAGATTCATTATGGTATGTCCATATCTGTACATAAGAAAGTTACATCAGATTCATTCCAGTGTCTTTTCCATTTCCATCTCTCCCTCTCTTCACTTCATTCTCCTTTGTCTAATGCAATGAACTTCTTTCTTCCCCATCCCATTATTGTGGGTTAGCATCCACATATCAGAACATTCAACCTTAGGATTTGGGGGATTGGCTTATTTCACTTAGCTTGATAGTCTCCAGATCCATCCATTTACTGGCAAATGTCATCAAATAATTCTTCTTTATGGAGGAATCACATTCCCTTTTGTATATGTACCACAATTTCCTTATCTATTCTTTTTCTAATAAGCTTCTAGGTTGTTTCCATAGCTTAGGTATACTGAAATGTGCTGCTCTAAACATTGATGTAACTTGTCACTGTAGTATGCTGATTTTAACACCTTTGGGTAAAAACTGAAGAATGGACTAACTAGATCAAATAGTGGTTCCATTCCTAGTTTTTTGAGGAATCTCATTCTGTTTTCTAGAGTGTTTGCATTAATTTGCAGTCCCATCAATAATATATGTGTATAGCGTTTCCCCCACATCCCACCAACATTTGTTTTTACTTGTATTCTTGATAATTGCCATTCTGGTTGGAGTGAGGTGAAATCTTAGTGTTTCTTGTTTTTGAGTTTCAAAGTGTATTTTGACATTTTTTTCTCTTTGGTTTGCATTTCTCTAATGGCTAGAGATGCTCAACATTTTTTAAATATATTTTTTGACTATTTGTATTTCTTCTTTTGAGAATTGTCTTTTTAGTGCCTTTGCTCACTTATTGATTGTGTTATTTGAATGTTTTTGTTGTGGTTTTGGTTTTGGTGTTAAGCTGTTTTAGTTCTTTGTGTATCCTCATGTGAGGTGTGGTTGGCAAAGATTTTTCTCCCATTCATAGGCTCTCTCTTTACTCTCTTGATTGTTTCTTTTGCTGTGAAGAAACTTTTTTTGTGTGATACCAACCCATTTATTGATTTTTATTTTACTTCTTGTGCTTTAGCAGTCTTATTAAGGAACTTGATTCCTAAGATGACATGTTGGAGTGTTGGGCCTACATTTTCTTCTAGTAGGTGCAGTGTTTCTGGTCTAATACCTCCTAGGTCTTGATCCACTTTGAATTGAGTTTTGTGCAGGGGGAAATATAGGAATTCAATCTTATTTTACTCCATATGGATTTCCAGTTTGTTTGACCTGATTTTCATTTTGATTAATGTAAACTTGCATCTGTGTTACCATAATCTAGACCAAGACTTTCCCAGCATGTCCAGAAAGTTGTTTTGTGCCCCTTTCATAGCAAATGCAATTTCATCAGCTGAGTTTTGAAAGGAGATTTACTGAGAAATAACTCATGTTCCATTCACCAAAGCATTTAATTCAGTGGCCTTTAGTGTATTTATAGATCCATGTAACCATCATCCAAATTAATTTTAGGAGTTTTCTTCAACTCAAAAAGAAACCCATTACTTTCTCTATGACTTCTCCATCTGTCCCTGTTTTATACCTAATTTTGTTCCATCTTGCTTTTTCTTCCTTCCTGATAATTCTAAGATTCCTTCTTTTAGTTTCCTTTCTCACTAGAAAACTAGTTATCACTCTCCTAGGGTAGGTCAGCTGGTGACAAATTCTTTTATTTATTTATTTATTTTATCTGAGAATGTCTATATTTCCCCTTCTTTCCTGAAAAATGTTTTTTCCATATATAGGATATAGAACTGTGGGTTAACAGTTCTTTCCATAGTTGAAAAATACTGTGCTACTGGAACCCTTCTGACTTCCATGATTTCTGATGAGAAATCTTTGTAAGTAAACATTTCTTCCCACACCAGTGCTTGTTTCTTGTTTCTTCAGGATTTTTATGTCTCTGGTTTTCATAAATTTTATTACTATATGTTTAGACATACATCTATTTAAATTTAACTATTGTTGTTCTCTCACCTTTTTGATTTTAAAAGTTTATGTCTTTTGCCAAATTTGGGCTTTTCCATTCATTATTTATTGGAATATTTTTTAAGTTTCTCTTTGTCCTCTCTTGCAGGACTTGAATGACACAAAAGTTATATCTTTTGTTATAGTCTCATGGGCCCTTGAGACTCTGTTCCTTTCCCTTTTCAATCTATTTTCTATCTATTGCTCCAACTAAGTAGCTTTTAGTGCTCTTTTTTTCTAGTTTATTAAATTCTCTTGTTACCTCTAGTTACTGTTGAAATCCATGGACATTTTTCATTTTGTTTATTTTATCTTTAGTTCTTTAATTTTTATTTTGGTCTTTTATCTTCTATTCATCTGCCAAGACTTTCTCTTTTTCCACTTTTTTAGGCATGTTTGTAATTGCTTGTTGAAACATTTTTATGATGATTGATCTAAAAATGCTCATCAAGTAATTTTAACTTCTGTGTTATTCTGCTGTTAGTGCATGTTGATTGTCATTTCTTAGTGAGTCTGAGATCTTCCTGGTTTTTGGTATGATGAGTGGTTTTCTATTGAAATATGGACACGTTGAGTATTATGTTTCAAGATTCTGGATTCTCTAGGTAGTAAAGAAAGTCCACATTCTCCTATTAATGTCTGTTGACACCCTCAGAAGGGCAAGGGCTTCTTGTTACTGCTTAAGTGGGGGGTGTTGGCTGGGTTCTGGGCCTCTGCTCATAGCACCCTGGCTTACTATTCCCCAAATAACCTCCACCACACTCTTTGGCAGTGGTCTTTTTACCACCGAGTAGTGGTGAGAGCCCAGACTCTCTGGGCCTCCTCTGACATTTCTAAAGCAAGAAGAGGAATTATCACTATTGATGAGGGCAGAAGTCCAGGTTCTTCAGATGGGCTCTGCTGATTACCTGATGTGGCTTGCTACTGCCCATCAGAGGCTTGAAATTCCTGATTCCACAGTTAGCCCTCCAGTTCCACCCCAGAATCAGGATTTGGGAAGCTTGTTATAGTTAGCAATGATAGTTGTTTACACTTTCCACTGAGTCTTCACCAGTGTGAAGAGGTTTTTTGTTGTTGTTTGTTTTGTTTTGTTTTCTCCCTGTGGTATTTGACTGAAGGAGTTATTGACTAAATATTTTGTTTTACTAGGCTACCATTTTCCTCATCTGTTGGCTAGAGAAAGCAGGCTTTCCATGGAACTTTCATTATCTGCCTTCACTGGCATTTCCAGAATATTCTCTAGGATATGTAGGAAAAAAGGAAAACCCATGCTATTCCTTGTGTACTGAGGTCCCTAGGCAGTTTGCTTTCTTCTCTCCAACTTTCAGAAAGTTCTTATATTTGTATTATACATGATGTCTAGGGGGTTTAGTTGTACTTATCAGGAAAATAGATACATGAAGTAAATCTCTATTTGGCCATAAGCAGTAGTGTAAATTGGTATTTTTTTAGAGAAGAGGATCAGTTCAAATACCAGAAGATTTTTTATTACTTATTTCTTATTTTGAGTCCTTTTTTTCTGTCCTTTCTGAATATCTGATGGCCTTGGTACAGTTCAAAGGTCATGTTTTGCCTGTAAGATGGCATTCTTTTTTCCTAATTTTTAATGCTTTCAAATATGCACGGTTTTGTGCATTACATAATTTAGATTTTATGTCAATATTTCTTTTTTATTTTTTGGTTCAGAAAAATTAAAATGGTTTTTAGATTTCAGTGTTTTTTATATTCTGTCAAATAAATATTTTTAGTATTTCTACATCATTCCTAAATGAAAAAAAATTTTTTTCAAATATTTATCCCAAAATGTATTTTTTTTAGTTTCCTCTATAAATTTTCTTTCTTTTTTTTAAAATTTTTTATTGTTGGTTGTTCAAAACATTACATAGTTCTTGATATATCATATTTCACACTTTGATTCAAGTGGGTTATGAACTCCCATTTTTACCCCATATACAGATTGCAGAATCACATCAGTTACACATCCATTGATTTACAT